GCGTTGTTAAAACAAACCGCTTTTTTGTGTCCGTTTGCAATACATTTAAGAGCGTTTCGTGGTCCCGGCGCGTAATGAAGGCGCGGAAGCAAGCAGACGACCTGGGCAAAGACGCCTGCTTGCTCTGCTGAACCCAAGAAACATTCGGTTGATGTGACTTGCCCTGAGACAGGGTAGAAGCATGATAACGTAAAAGGGACGTGGTCAACACACAGCGTATCCAAAAACAGCTGTGTGTTCGGACTTCGGAGACGTGCCTTTCTTTTCCTTCCCTGTCTCAGGTCAAAGTATGTCCACTTTTCACGAGCTCGCCTGCGCGCTCACCTTTTTTTGAGACCTTCAGTGTAGTCATAACTTGCAACAGCAACTATACTTTCCTCTTGTCTGGAATACCTCAGTACCAAACTTCGCCACGTCTTTTTTGTATATTCTGTAAACGACTTAATTTTCCCGAATCAACTACAATTCGCCAAAAATAGGTCCCGCGAACAATTCTGATAAAATGTCAACACATTTTGGAATGTACAGGGTGTCACAAAAGAAAATTTACGCGGTATTTTTTTTCTCAAAATTAAACTAGGCATCGCCGAACGCTCATTCTCCGCCCAAAGGTAGAGCTAGAGGTCACAACCAGATGCCAAAGTTTCAGCCCGATCCGATAACTTAATCAAAAGTTATAAGTGATTTTCTAAAAATTTCAATGGGAAAATGGAGCCCATTTTTGCTCGTTTTCGGTTTCTGGTGCCATAGAGCCCCATGTGTCTGAAAACTCCGTCGGCCGCCATTTTCCCATTGAAATGTTCAGAAAATCACTTATAACTTTTGATTAAGTTATCGGATCGGGCTGAAACTTTGGCATCTGGTTGTGACCTCTAGGTCTACCTCTGGGCGGAAAATGAGCGTACGGCGATGCCTAGTTTATTTTTGCGGTAAAAAAGACCGTGTAAATTTTTTTTTGTGACACATTGAGATCCCAGCGCGTCGCGAAAATTATAACCTGCGAATTATTCCGAAAATTCAGCTTTAACCTAAATTGTGAAATGTTCAGCCCGCGAAAAATAGGTCGCTTACAGTATATTATTGTCTGCCAACATAAAAATAAGCTGCAGCTTCCAGCTGGAAATGAAGATTTCCAGTTGCATTGTTGCATTTTCGGCTAAATTATACAGCAGCAGCTGGAAATCCTGTTCACAGCTGGTAATGGATGCTGCTCATACTAAAAATAAGAAATTCCAGCTTGGAAGTACATAATCCACCTAAAAGTTTCCCAGCTAGATGAGGAAAATACTAATTTCCAGCGAGAAATTTGTCCATTTCTGGGTGGAAACAGCCTGGAATTCGGCTGGTAAAATAGATTTCCAGCTTCAGCTTTGGCTTTACCGGACTCCCTAGCCGCGGGCATTCGCTTCTTGCTTACCCGAAATCGTCCTGCGGCAGGAGTTTGTGGACGTTTCTTCAGCTCCTGCCGATATTTATGTAGCATAGTAAACCTATGCACCGACCACTTTTTTTTTTCCAGGTAATTTAATAAAACGCGTCGAGAAAGAATGACACTCCAGGCCCGGATCGAAAATGGCATCGTCTACTCCCCATACCCATCGGAACCTGTGCCCGAAATGACGTTGTACCAGGTGGTGAAACAGTGCCTCGAGCAATATGGCTGCCGAACTGCTTTGGTGAGCTTGACAAATGTTCACTTTAACGGTGCTTTTGTGTATATACAGGGTGTCACAAAAGAAAATTTACACGGTCTTTTTTACCGCAAAACTAAACTAGGCATCGCCGAACGCTCATTCTCCGCCCAAAGGTAGAGCTAGAGGTCACAACCAGATGCCAAAGTTTCAGCCCGATCGGATAACTTAATCAAAAGTTATTAGTGATTTTCTGAAAATTTCAATGGGAAAATGGCGGCCGACGGAGATTTCAAACACATGGGGCTCTATGGCACCAGAAACCGAAAACGGGCAAGAATGGGCTCCATTTTCCCATTGAAATTTTCAGAAAATCACTTATAACTTTTGATTAACTTATCGGATCGGGCTGAAACTTTGGCATCTGGTTGTGACCTCTAGCTCCACCTTTGGGCGGAGAATGAGCATTTGGCGATGTCTAGTTTAGTTTTGCGGTAAAAAAGACCGTGTAAATTTTCTTTTGTGACACCCTGTATTGGGTGTTTTTTCTAGGCTTAACAAATTTGTTTAAAAAAAACATGAAAGTTACACTTATGCCGCTTGTGGAGGGGAGTTATACGGCCAGGGGGACATATTATAGGAGGATAATCGTAACAATCAGTCGACAAATTAACTAAAATTTGTTAATTAACTTTTGAAATAATGAAAACAGACATATCGTTCCAATTAGAAACTTGCTCAGCGTCATCGAAAACCACTGAATCAGTAATTTTCAGAAAGACTTTGAGCGCGTGAGAAGCGTAGTAGTGCACTAAAGTTACCACTCGTGGAGCAGGTACAAAGCTAGCGGTTGCGATAAGGCGCCCGCGCGATTTTTCCGTCTCTTATCTAGCCCCAGCCTTGTACCTGCTCCACGAGTGGTAACTTTAGTACAACACTACGCTTCTCACGCGCTCAAAGTCTTTCTGAAAATGACTGTTTTCGATGACGCTGAGCAAGTTTCTAATTGGAACCATATGTCTATTTTCAATAATTAAAAGTTAATTAACGAATTTCAATTAATTAGTCGACTGATCGTTACGATTAGCCCCTATAATATGTCCCCCTGGTCGTATAACCCACCTCCACAAGCGGCATAAGGGTAAATTCCACGACTTTTTTAAACAAATCTGTTAAGCTTAAAAAAACAAAAAAAAAAAAAAAACAAACACCCTGTATATATATATATATAGGGTGTCTGAATACCCAGGCACGATCTAAAATGAACCGTAAAAATATACGCCTGCACGTTGAATTGGGAAGTAATCCGTTACAAGTAACTGATCGTTTGTAATCCTTTACTTTTTCAACTAATTTTTGTAATTGCTGCGTTAATTGTTTTTGACCGTAATTTGTAATTCAATTTCGTCAAAAATGTTAGTAACGAATTACTTTAATTACTCGTTCCCTTTTATTAAAATACGAAGATAATACAGAAACTGGAGCGATATGAGCAGGCTATCCAGCAGCATACAGATAGCAAGTTCAACAAATGAATAACCGAGAAGAAAACACTTTTTTTTTTGTATGATCGGTCACTATAGCGTGACATGACAACACCAGGACGAACCACACTGACCGATTGCATCTAGGATAGCTGGCGCAAGCTACCGCCCATAAATAACCCGAAGAGACGATGCGGTTGCCACGGAGACGCGCATGCGCAAAGTGAGGTAGTTCGTCAGGGCGCGCTGGTCCAGCGTTAGTCTACGTTGGACTGTAAACACCATCGTTCGGGCGCTTCTCGGGCGGCGTAGTGGCCGACGAACGTCGGTCTGCACCGGCGTGCGTTGCGTTCGTCGACGTTGGAGTATAAACGGCCCTTTAGGGACTGTATTGTATTTTTTTATGCTTTTGACGTCAGAGGTAAGGTCAAAGCACCACGACACGACGACGTGACGTTACGACGGCGCCATGACGACATCGTTGACTGCGACGTTACGCGACGCCAAGATGTCGTGACATCGCGTTGAGGACGACGCCGTTACGCGACATCAAGTCGCCGTTCTGACACAGCCGTGATATCGCGTCGCGTGGAGGACGACGCCGTTACGCGATATTAAGTCGCCGTTGTAACGCGGTCATGCCGTCGGGCGCCGCGTCGAAAACAACGTGGGCGTGGTTGTCGATGCCAACGTTGACGTCGACGCCCCATGCAACGTCAAACATCGCTATGACGTCACGTTAACGTCGCCCTGACGTCATCGTTAACGTCAACGTCACAACGACTTCACGACGAAGCCTTGGCGGCGTGTAACGTCGTCGCCTTCGACAGCGTCAAACTCGACGCGCAGTCACGGCGAAGTCTTGACGTCGTGTAACGTAGTCGATGATGACGTCGACGTCGACATCGGGAAGTTGTCGAGACATTTTTCTTGACGTCGAGTTGCGTCATGTCGACAACGACGTCGACAAACTGACACCAAGCGTCCTTATGAGGTCGCATTGGCAAGGACGCCGCAGTCATCTTGACGTCCCGTGACGTTGTCGTCGTCGTCATCAACGCCAACGTTGACATCGTCGTCGTTGTCAACGTAATATGACGTCATAACGCAGTCTTGATGTCATGTAGCGCACGTTGCCAACTTCGATGACGACGTTGACGTCAAGGCATCTTCTGATGTCGCATGGCGTTGTGACAAGTCTGGTCGCGGTGACTTTATGTACGTGACGCAGTTGTATAAAAATATAGTCCGGCGTTCTACTCTTTTTATAACTTTGACCACTGTACCGGTCGAGCTTGGCGTTGGAACGAAATGCGTTTTTCATAAGAAACGGCTAATCCAAACAACTTCGCTCGTAACGCCCGAAAGGGCGCTACGAGCGAAGTGGCTTAGTGGCATGGATTAGAGCTATTAAATAAGCTGCGCTTAAAGTATCGGCTAGTGCCACTAGTATCGGCACTCCGCTCCCACACATTGTTGTGGGCGCCGCCATTTTGGCTCGTGTGCAGAGCAGACGCGACTGCCGATCATCATGATTCAAAAGTGCGACTTCCTCAGCATTAGGTTCGGTGTTAGGAAGCTCATGTAATATTGCTTTGCTCTGTCGCGAACTCTTTAAACGTTCGCGGAGGGCGGAAAAGCGTTTCCTGTGATTTCGGACAAAGCTTCAGATAACTGGCAACCGTACTCCGGCAGAGGAGCCTCAAGCTGTCAAAACATCTCACTTCAAATTTGACATTTGGAACAACGTAGACGAAGAAGCTTGATGCAAGCACCGTGCACGAGATCATGAGCCGCATGGCTTCAAAGCATTCTACCGAAGCCATGAGCAGTATCTGACTTTTTTACTTATGGTAAAAAAAACAAGTAAATAAAACGAACGAACCTCTCCAGGTGTTTATTACTGCCACCATCTGCTTCGACGTCTCCGCCATTATACGGACTACGAGGATCTGCCATCCTTTTTTTGTCGTGGGTTCTTTTGGCTGTTTACCAGACGCGAGGCACAGTGCGCGAGGCAGAGAAAAAAAGGCAACATTGTACAAAATGGGCAAGATGCAAAGCAAGCTAAAGCTCCGTGGGCTCGAAGACCTGCACCAGTGCACTGCGTTCACCGACGAGGAGGTGGCAGAGTGGTACAGGAGCTTCATGAAAGAGTTTCCCAGTGGACGCATTTCCCTGGAGAGGTTCAAGGAGGTCTACCACAGGCAGTTCCCCGAGGGGGATCCGTCCGAGTTCGCCCAACATGTCTTCCGCACGTTCGACACTAACAAGGACAAGACCATCGACTTCCGCGAGTTCATGTGTGGGCTGAATGCCACCAGTCGTGGGACACCGGAGCAGAGACTCAGGTGGGCTTTTACCTTGTACGATCTGGACGGAGACGGCTTCATTCAAAAGCAGGAGATGATAGAGATGCTCACGGCCGTTCGCAAGATGTTCGCGTCCCCGATGTATTCTCCGCCGAAAGACGAGTCCATGACGCCTGAGAAACAGACCGAGATATTATTCCGCAAGATGGATAAGAATAAGGACGGAAAGCTGAGCCTCGAAGAGTTTCTGGACGGGGCCAGAAGTCACCCTTCTGTCCTGTACATTCTACTAGACTCCCCCACGAAGCCCTTCCAGTAAAGGGATTCGATCTTTATCTCGGAGTCGAATAGATCACTTACCCTTTCATTCTCGAGAGAGGCAGAGAGACACTCACATATTCTTTGATGCAGTTTTGTTGTGTCTGTACAGAAATGCATCTATGAACAATATCAGTGTCGGAAATAGTGAGCGATATACCACGGCACGATGTCGCTAAGGCTCACGTTCCACGAATGGCAAGAATCGATTAACGATAAGCAACCTGTACAACAACATTACACGGATAAAAATTCTTGACATAACTGAAATCTTGCCTTAATCATTTTCCCTTAGCGAAATCGATACTTGCGGTTGTCCTCTCGTCAAGCTCTTTGGAGTATACTTGAAGCCACTCTAAGCACTCGGCAACATATTAGGGGGGATTCAGCCGCTATTTATTTGTACCCTTTTCCTCATAGGTGGAGCAGAATTTTTCCGGGACCATCGAGTCGGATGCTCGCAGCTGCGCATGCAAGTCGGGCGCTCGAGGTGGGCCCGGGCCACGAGCTGTTCGCCGCCGATCTCGAGCTAGATCTTCACTCTGCGTCCGCCGCTACCGGAAGCGGCTAGTGGCTCTAGAAGCGGCTGAAGGGGCGGCGCGAGATACGAGCCAGTACATACGTAGATTATAGGGAGTATAGACGCTTTACAGCAGTTGTGCATGGGCGCCGCCATAACTGCCCTTTAATTTTTGTTTCCGCTTATTCCATTTTCTTCACTTCGTCATTACCATAGCAGTCCAGGTTTTTGCCATCTTAGATTCCATTGTGTCCTTCTTCCCAGCATTGGCCTTTCTGGAGGCTCGTCAACACCCGTTCCAGTGGCTCGGTATCTCCGTAAGACAAGAGAAGGTTAGCAATGGCGGCTCTATTCTGCCGCGTGTGTAAAGCCTCTATTCACTGGCGGCCATATCTGTGTGCGCGGCTGCTGAGCGCGGGCTGACGGCGAGCTTCCGCAGTCCTTCTGGAGCGTGCATTTAGCACCATCAAGGTAGCCGGTCTTAGCAGGCTATTAATGTGAGCTCGTTCTGGGCATGCGCTCTAAACATCGCCCTCAAATATGGCGTCCAGTGAATACCTCCTATAGTGGCTTACATAACGTAGAATGATCTCTGAGTTCCGAATGAATTCAAAGTTCCAACCACTTTCGAAATTATCGAAAGCACAGGGTGCGGCTCTGCGGTCCTTTGGATCACCACATTTAGCACAAAAAAGTTGTTCTGCAAAAAAAGAAAGAAAAGAAAAGTTTAATTTTGAGAGTGCAATTTTAAGCTAGAAATAAAAAAAAAAGAAATAAAGCGACAGTTTTGCGCTTCGTATGTCCTATATCTGCCTGCTCTAGATGCTGGAAAAAGCGGTGGAGAAACTGCATCATGACGTTGCCGGGAGGGGGGGGGAGCCTAATCTATATCGCCAACAAACTTCATCGGAAGAGAACTGCACAGTGACGTGTCCTGTGTGCTTCACCGAAATGTGGCGATTAAGTTGAAACTACATCATTTTTTTTTTTAAGCTTTCTACAGGGAATTTTGGAGAATCGTAAAATTCGGAAGTGAAGGGTTCTAGAAAGCAGTACTCTTAAATATCCGAAACGTATAGTGCAGAGCAATTTAATTAAACTAGTTTTTGTTGAAATTTGTCGTATGAAATATTTAGTTTACTTAAAGCTTTGCAACAGTTTCAGTGCTTTGCTTAAATAATGTTGGAGTTGCTGTCTCGACCTTTCTGAAGTAAAGAACAAAAAACTGCTTTTGCCTGCATGTCCTAGATTTTATTTTAAAAAAAATGGACAAAGATTGTTGTTTTCGGCAGCTCTCAACTCCTTTAACATCTTCCGAGCCACATGCGCTGTGACGTCATTGGGGTGGCGCGGGGTTCCGGTGAAGCTCTTTTATACTCCGTGTCACTAGTTGGGTTCAGCACAGGCAGAGGTAACGTCAGGAGAGAGGAGAAAGGGCAAGCACTAGAATGGCTTGCAAAAAAAAAGGCGGGAAACCCCCTCTCCTTTCTAACGTTCCTAGCGCTCTCCCTGGCTCCCGTCGCCCTCTTTTGCTCTCATCTCCCGCCTTCCTAGTGTTCCCCCTTTCTCTCTTCGCCTGGCGTTGCCTTCGCCTGCATATCACACAACAGTGAGCAGCGAGAATTCATCCGCTCGCGAGACCGCGTAACCAAGTGCTGGCGGGCGCAGCGCGAACAATATGGTGAAATGAGGAAAGTCTCATCCAGGTCCGGCCACACCTGTCGCAAATACCTTACGAGTATTTGCTTGTCGCCCGTCTGGCCCTGTCCCCCTTCCCCTCCGGCTTCTGGCGGCTGTTCCCGTTCCGATGTTCGCGGTAGTAGATAGAGCTGAGGGTTTTGTGGACCTAGGATAGATGGCGCCACTAAAACTCCGTATAATAAAAGTTTTGTCGATGATACCAGGTTTTTGACGCATTTATATTTATGTTAGAACGACAAGATTTATAAAAAAAACCTTTTATCGAGCAGATATTCGCTCAACTTGCTATCTTTCTACAAGACACCTATTGATGTCATGCTGCGTGTCTCGCATGGCCGCCGCTCGCGGCTGCAGGTCGAGGAATATTCTAAGTTTTGCCTCGCGATTACGCGGCGGATTCGCAACATTTTGAAGGAAGGAGGCGTGCTTTCTGTCCTTTGTGACAAGATGAACAATGTCAAAAGTAGAAGATGCCAATTCTTTTAACGTTAAAATCGTTGTACAGCTCCTTTAAGTCACACAAAAACTATTAGCATTTGCTGCAGCTTTTTACGTTGTGCAGGCAGGCAGCCATTGCCGACAACACGAAGAAGCGGAAGTGAAGTCCTCGCGTGTCGGCCCACCAGATTACGCTTCTGAACGACTTTTTGACAGGAAACGAAGTTTTAGTGAGGGCCGCCACTGACAGTTTTCTGACCAAGCCTGAGCGGGACGAGTTGCGGGACAGAATTATGGATGAGCTGAACGCCCAAGGCCCGTCCATCAAAACGTGAGCAGAACGGAAGGGCCACTGGAACACTCGTTTGTGCCACGCCCCGGAACGGGATTTGGATTTAGCTTGTGCTGCTCGACCGTGTATCACTACTGCGTGGTGCACGTTAAAAAACCCCAGGCTAGCAGTCATACATCACTAGCTAAATTGCTTATGTACAGTGAGTAACAATGTCGCCATGTTCAGGCAGACTAACCTCTTGGTGTATAAACAACTAACGACAAATTTGACTTTTGGTCTTTGACTGCGTTAGTGCAACTTCTCTCTTGCTGCATGAAAAAGAAAAAAATGTTCCTTCGGGGATTTAATGTTTGATGAAGAAGGCTGCAAAAAAAGAAGAAAGGAGAATATTTCCCTCAGTGGGGTTCGTAGTAGAAGACGAGGAAAAAAAAATCAGTTGTTAGTCCCACGGTGTGTATGGTCTTTTCTTAGTGTGTATGTTTATTTCAGTACATCTGGCCTTACCTGAAGTATTAGCTCTAAAATAAAGTATCTCTCTCTCTCTCTACCTGAAGTATGAACGAACTAGCTCAACTTAAAGCCTGTTACCGTTGCTTGGCCTTCCGCTCAGCCAAATCGCTTATATGAGGTGCACTCAAATGAAAACACAATCGTGTTGAATCGTGTAAAGGTAATTAGAACATTTATCGATCACGCCGCTGAACTTGCATCGCTCGAAGAACTTCCTTTTTGTGAGCGCCTTTTTTGCTTGAGTTTGCTGGAAACACATGCCACTTCGATCCGAGGCAATCGATGATAGCGTTGGTGTCATCAACAAGTACGCGACTCACAGAGCACTCGTGAACACCAATGTTTTCGTCACTCCCGACAGTTTCCTGGAAGCCGCCAGCGGCGTAGAAGCGTAGAGCTGTGAGGACTTGTTGTTCGACCGTCAGCACACGGGGGGGCTCTTCGCGACGCCGCTGGAGCTTTCCGCGAGGCTGGTCGCACAGCCAGCGAGTCACCCCTTTGGTCAGCCGGTATTCGTCCACAAATCTCACATCGCTCGTCTCGAAAGCATCCCGGTGATCTCTAGAAACTCGATCCGGCTAGCGAACCCAACAGTAGATATGCATATGTTAGGGTCGCCATCTTTTACGATGCAAAATGATCTCCGGCTTCGTCTCGACCACTCAGTTAACTGCATCGTGAAAGTCCATCGTGACGACATTCTGATCAACGTTACTGGAGCAAGTTTAGTTTCAACAGGGGGAGGCACTCTAAGTTTCACAGCTCCGTCTGCGACGTAGGCTCAATGGCGGTCACAAGAACTAGCAGCGCTGCAGTCGAGTCTTGCTTCCGGGTTGTCTAGCCCGCCAAGTTTGAATAGCAATACTTGAGCTAAGGCGAGTTGTTGATTCATACTAAACTTCACAGTGCAAGGAAACAGACGCACACAAAAATAAATTTCAAACACTCAAAGAAAGAACACTCACAATGCGCTGAATCTGATCTCTGTGGTGTATTATACACACAGGGAGTTGCGAAACTTAGCTTGCTCCAGTAACTTTGGTTGCCAGGCTGTCTTTGCCTCTCCTGAAGCTTTCCCGCGCACTTCCGCGATCGCGTGCGTGTCAGCGCGTGTGTGCTTTGGTGTTTTCTTAGAATGCTTAGAAGATTCGGAACAATCATAGGAACTACGTCGGCCGAACGCATCGGTTTCCCACACTGAACGCGTATCTCTTCACCGTTGATAACGTGCACGTAATCTCAAACTACGTACTGTGGTTCAAAATGTAATTCGCACACAGCAGAGGTCTCATCCAACGTCTTTTCCGTTCAACATAAGTTCTTATCCAACCGCTTTCGCCGCTCCTCGTCTTCGGGTACACCGAAGACGAGGAGCGGCGAAAACAAGGACCAAGTGGGCTAAGGCGCAGACTCAGCTCGGAGCACGTGGAGCGAAAGCTCGCGCTGCAGAACCCAGGGATCCTGGCTTCGATCCCCACCCCTGCCCGTTTCGATCTGGATGAGCATCGTACCGGCGTGCGGTAGTGTGCCACTATAC